GCTTTTTATTTCAGCGCCTGACCCCTGACATTCGCTTCCAATGATGTGAAGCCAGTATCGAGAGCAGGGTCTGTGTCCCAGGATCTCCAGGTCCTAGAGGTCACCTTGCCTGTGCCCGAGAGAAATTTTTACAAACTCCCAGTGACAGTGTAGGGAGGGGAAATACCGGCTCCCCAGCTGCTTCTCTGGATGCAGAGGCGCCAGGAATGTCGGAGAGCGCCACCTCCTGGTGCAGAGGAGCACCTGACTCCCCAGCCTCCTGGAGGCGCTAGGCCTTACAGAGGCCCTGGGACCAGTCTAGACGCAGCTGTCCTCCCAGTGCAGCCCTGGCGGTCCAGTGCTGAGCAGACAGAGTTCCCCTGGGATCCAGTAAGTCTTTCTCTCAACAGACATCCTCTCCACCCTACTGTGGTTGCTGGTATTCCAAAGGGTCTGGCTCCACTTTAGACCTAATAACCTCTTGCCCTCAATTAGGGGGTGTGCCTCTCTCTTCCCCTGCAATACTGATAAGCCCCACTTGGAGAGCACCCGGGTGGGGGTAGGTGGGGGAGAGCATGTGAACTGACTAGTCCAGAGCAGGTGAGGTAAGGAAGAGGGAGGAGAGCGGGAGCTGGAGGAGCTGCTATGGCCAGATGAGGGGGAGGAGATTGTGTCCCCTGGTGAGCCCTGTGGCCAGAAGGGCAGGATCTGGGGACTGTGACTTCCCATGGGTCCGGCTTTTGATGGTTGAGTCCTATTGCCCCTGGGCACTTAGACCCAATTTAAAAAAAAATCCATGGCTTAAAAAAGAAACAATGGGCATAAAGATGAAGTCATTTTTGCCATGTCCCCTCAACTTAATTCACCTACACTTTAAGCCGCTCCTCAAAGTGGAATTTTAAACCCATTCATCTGGTTCCCTGATCCGCACAGCACTAAGGAAGCTATTAAGATAATTCCCTGATAAGATACCCTCCCTTCCCCGAGGGAAGGTGGCTTTGCCCAAAATTATTACATTTCCTTTGCTAATGAACTCATCCCAACTTCTTTCTGATTATAAAACCTTCGACTTTTGGAATAAAAATAAGCACACAGATCAATGGAATGGAATCAAGAGCCCAGAAATAGAACCACGTCTATACAGAGTTTATTCAGGACAAAGGAGCCAGGAGTACACAGTGGAGGGAGGAGCGTCTCTGACGGGCATTAGGAAAACTGGGCAGTCACAGGCAGAAGAATGAAACTAGGTCCTTATCTAGAAATCTGATGGCAGAATTGAGGATATCAGGGGAAGGGTGGAAGCAGGGGGCGAGGGGTCCACTGGACTGGAGTGGAGGAACTTTGGTGCTTAGGTGGTGGATACAGTCACACACATCTGAAGCCGTGTGAACCTGTACCCTCAAATCATATACCGTGTTGTAAACCAATGTTACATTGATAAAAAGTAATACCATTAAAAAAAATTCCCACTCCTTGGAGCATCCTTCCCCTGGCTGGGTGGGATGCTGTGGGGCCCATGAGCCAGAGGCATGGCAATTAGATCCCCAAATTCACTGCAATGAGCTTTATTTGTCAATCCATCCACCCGTTAAGGACATTTCTTGTGCTTGATAGTTTGACTGATGATTCATACGGCCGTGGACGGGGATGTGCAGAATTCTCTGAAAGATGCTCACGCACAGCTTGACTCCGGCTGATAAGGTGGTTCTGTATCTTTCCTGTTGCTTAAAGTAGATCTTGGGAACTCTCACCATGCACATGCAAACTTAACTATGGGAGGTGCTGGGGATGTTACTTAACTTAATCCGGGTAATCCTTCCACAATGCATGTTGTAGGGTAAGTGAAAAAGCATCAGGCTTTTCTGCCCTCCAGCCATTAGGATGGATGATGGATCCCTGCGGTCCTGAATGCATGCCTGATGGCGGGCACCTGGAGTAGGGTGTGGGCATAGGTAGATGGGATTCACCTGGGCTAAAACTGTGCTTATAAGGGCGGCATCAAGGAGACGCCAGCAGAAGCAGAGCAGCAGAGCAGCGCAACAGCAGCAGAAAACAAGGCCACTAGAGAATGCCAGAGAGCCCAGGTAGAGTGAAGACTTGCTGGGGGCTGGGAGGCCTGCTAGCCTCCCGGCCCCCCAGCACCCCTGCCTGCCGTGTGCCTGGTAAATCCCAATAAAAGCCTGAAAAGCCACTGAGGGCTCCAGGACTCTCTCCTCCTTTACCCCGTCTGCTCAGATCATAGAAAACCTGCCCTGTGTCCTCCTGCCCCTACGCAGGTGTAGATCAATGAATCTGTACCCTCTGAAGAAATACAATTCCAGGACCTGGTGAGCAGTGCCCCTCAGTGGCTTCTACCAGCTGGTCATCTTTGCCATAAGAGTTAACATGAATCACGAACTCAGAGCTGGCCCAGCCCTTGTTGCCCAGACGCAGTTCTTCAGACCTGGAGGAGGTGGGCAAGGGGGTGGCTGGGATTCTGCAGAATCCTCAGGCCTGTGACCGCCCTTACTCCACCCCAGTCCTGTTAGGGTCACTGAACAGCCTGGTGGGATTTTGACCCTCACACCAGGTCTCTGCAAGTGGACCAGACATTCCTGGGCAAGGAGGAGACTCGAGTCCAAGGCCCAGGCTAGACCTTGGGAGTGGCCCAGCTCAGGCCCAGATGCCTCGCCTGCAGACCGGAGGCTGGTCGGAGGGGAGGGCCTCGAGACCAGCTTCCTGCCCTTCCAGATGTGCAGACACAACCCCGCTGGCTCTCGGTTACACTGTGCTCTGTCTCAGGAACACTCCCTGGTCTTCTCCCAACCCTGCTCTCCAGGGCCATCACATCCCTGGGACCCTCTCCAGCCTCCCGGCCTCTCTGCTCATGGAGCCTTCCAGACAAGTAGAGCCCCCAGCCACCAGGGAAGCTGTGCACCACCCCAGTCTCTGCAGAGATCATCAGGGGTGTCTCTTCTCTCAGATGAAGAAATCAAGGCCCAGGGGTGTGAAGTGATAATGTCCAGCAAGCCCATGTCTGGCCAGAATTGGGACCTGGACAGGAGACCCACAGGCCTTTCCCAGCCTCCAGGGATTTGCCTTCGATTCATGTACAAACTCTCAGCAACCGTGCACCCAAGTTCGTCACCAGCCCCCAGATGTTTTCCAAGAATTATCAGAAAATAGCTGAGTGAGGTCAGGGAGGGGGATCTGGTTTTGAATTATTTCTACATGTGCCCCTTAGAATTAGTGCCCATCACAGAGCCGGACTGAACCTGAGACTCTACCCACCTGTAAATTAGCATCAAGTTGGCCACCAGGGGGCAGGCTTAACCGGCCGTGGGCCAAGCCCGGGCCTGCACCCAACTTGGCGCCTAGAGTTTTTCTGCAGCAGCTTCCACAGCCAAAGCACCCTGTCTTGGAGGAGGGAGTGCCTGCATGTGAGTGGACTCCGCCCGAGGTCTGGGTCGTCCTTGAGATTGTGGCTCCATCATACCTGTTGTCCTCGATCACACCTGTCAAACAGTAGGCCCTGCCATGTACTAGAGATTTCCTCTGTCCCAAACTCTGGGCTCAGTATTTTTATCTGAATTCGGGGTTACCATTATACTCATTTGAGACAAGAAGAGATGATTCAGAGAAGGACAGCAGCTCCTTCAAGGTCACACAGCCTGTAAGGGGTAACTGGAAATGCTCATTTGAATGCTTTGTAACAGATGCCGGAGGAAGCCTCGGACTGCATCAGGCCTAGATGGGTACACGGCTATTTTTCACTACAGAATCTTTTTCCAAAGAAGTTGCACAAATAAAATAAGAGTGGAGTAGCTCTGCCCACCCCGGGGGTCCCCAGGGCGGGCTCCCCACACCAACAGCCTCAGCAGCACCTGAGACCAGACCCTCAGGAGGGTCCTACCTTAACATTCCCTCCTGGGGATGCTGCTCAGGTGTGAGAGCAGAGACATTAAAACCCCACCCTGGAGGCGCCCAGCTGGGCTGGTGAGGGTCAGGACCACCCCCTTCCAAGCAGCCAGGCCCCCAGGAAACACTGACTCAAGGGGTTCCTGCCCTTTGCTTTCTTCTTTAGTTGCTAGAATGTGAGCGCAGGTGCCCAAAATGTCGGGAGAAGATCCTTGGAGGAATTGTTGTATCCATTATTGTTACTGTTATTATTTTGCAAAGTAGAAAACACCTGTTGTTTATTTGTGCTCATCTGTTTCTGTGGCAGGTGCATGGGTGGACAGCGGAACTGCAAACACCTGGCCCGGTGAGTGCTCTGTTTCTAGAGGCGGCGCAAGCACAGGGCTCCTCTGACCTGAGCAGGACTCAGGGGGCTGCTCTCCTCGGAGTCCGGAGGGGAGAAGGGGGACGCAGGGTTCCATTCTCAGCATGGCTGGGTCCACCTTGGTGGACACGGTGGGCAGAGACTCCGAGGGGAGCGCGAGAGGGAGACTCCGGAGGCCGACAAGCCCACGGCCCGTGCAGCTGCCACCCTCCGTGTCTGCCAAGCGAGGGAGACCGGCGAGGTGGAGGCCGGGGCTCTCGCTCTCAAATCCCGGCAGAGCAGGCACCGCAGGGGTGTCCTCACCCCACTGGCTCCACGTCAGGGGACAGCACAAGCCCGGGGAATCTGGTCCTGGGCCAGGACAGCACCCGAGTTCTTCTGTCGGGGGTTCCCCCTCGCTCCAAAACTGCTCACCCCAAGTCCCCTGTTCCCAATCACTAAAACGATTTGGGATTGCAGGGATGGAGGGGAGACGCGGGTGTCCTCCCTCCTTTGCCTGGGTGCCTAGGGCACAGGGCTCGGCTGCCCCCCACCTGGGGTCCCGCAGAAGCAACCCCATGGGGAGGTCCCCGGAGTTTTCCGTGTGGATCTCAGAGTCAGATCCGCTTCTTGGCTGAATCCGACCCTCGCGGAGGTTGTGTACCCAGATGTGAGGCTGAGGAAGCCGCATCCTCTCGCTGGGCCTCAGTCGCCCCTGTGTGGAAGGAGGAAGTGGCACCCAAGTGCCTTCCATTCTCTGTGACATTCTGTCTTCTGCACACATGACACTCGTGGTGCCGAAAGCTTTAATGGTGGGATGGACCAGAAAGGAGCCTGAGGGGTTAGAGAAGGGGCAGGGACCCCAAAACACAGACCCTGACTCAGGGGCCCCTCGGAAGGACCGGATGAAACACTCTAGGGCTCTCCGGCTGGCCAGACAGTGCTGGGGGGTCCGGTTGGCTCTGCCTGCATGCCGGGGGGTTGGGGGGCATCCTCAGAAGTGTGGGATGGGGCTCAGCCGACGGGGAGGGACCGGGATGGCGTGCTCCCGCTGAGACATGGCACTCAGGGGGGGTCTGGGGTAGGAGGAGGTGTAAATGCTCTCCCTCAGGCCATGCGGGGGGGCCAGCCATCGCTGCTTCAGTTGCTCATAGAAGCCGTAGTTTGTAGGGGGGCCTGCAAGAGAAGCCAGGGTCGGGGTAAGAAGGACCCTCATTCGAGGGGCCTAAGCTTTCCCCAGGAGGCTGGCTCGGGGCCTTGGTTGCCCTGCTAAGGTTATGCAGAGGGCCAGGGGACTCACCCTGTCACTTCTGACCCTTTGCGTCCAGGGCTGCAGAGACAAGCAAAGGATGGGGGCCCCCAGGGCAGGTCAGCTGGAGGACACACTGGCCCACAAATCCCTTCGCGTCTTGTTGCAGCAGGAACGCACGCTTGCTGTGGCCTGTGGGCCCTGCGTGGTCTTCCTCTTTCACCCGCTCTCCCATCTGGGGGTGCTGTCCCCTGCAGACCCTGCCTGGCCCCCTCCTTCTAGCTCAACTGCCTCAAGAAAGACCATCCCTCATCCTTTCACCCCAAAGTGAGATGTTCTAATTCCAAGTACCTATCCCAGCACAGACCTGCCTTCTTTACTCGATTCTAAGTAATCTTGCTCATCAGTGGTGTCTTATCTGCCTCCCCACTGGAATGTTCGCGCCGCGGCCAAAAGTTCATGTTCGTCCCTGCTGTGTCCCCAGAGCTACAGCAGGGCGGGGCGCCAAGGCAGGTGCTGTGGTATTGCTCTCCCAGCTGTGCCCCAGGTGAGCGTGCCGCAGGGGTGCAGGGGAGGGCTTCCTTGCACTGGCCACATGGTTCTGGGGCAAAGGGAGGGGTGGGTGCTGCCTGGACCAGGGTCACCTGTGGGTCCTTCTGCAAGGGCCGGGCACATCCCCGCCTACCCATACCCCCGTGGTGGGGGCCCCTCCCAGCCCCACTCAAGCACCGAGAAGGGGGAAGTCAGTTTTCTCCGGGAGCCACAGCAGCTTCTGTCCGCTCCAGGTGCGGCGCGAGGGCACCCCCGGGTTATAGTTGTGCCGGTTGAAGTGGTCGTCATAGCTGCTGACCAGGTAGCGGTGCGAAGGCTCCTGGTGGTGTGTGATCAGGTGTTTGTACGGGAGCCCCTGGATGGACAGACACAGCGGGCATTACAGCTGGCCTGGGTGGAGCCAGACTGCTATGGGGGGGTAGACGGAGAGGGACCCCCCCAGGACCCCCCAATGGAGACATGCATGTCTGTCTCACCCAGTGCAGCTCAGCTTCAGTCTCATGTCTGGCTCAGCTGCACCCAGTTGCTGGTACGAAGGCCCCCCTCACCCGTGCCAAGTCAGTTCACCCCCAGGATGAGGTATGGGGGCTGATGTGACAGCCCACCCAGCTGAATAGGAAAATCACACCCCCTGGTCTGAAATCACACCCCCTGACTCGTCCTGTGTCTCGTCCACCCAAGTGCCCATTTCCATGGCAAGTACAGCCGTCGCCTACCGAGCCTGGCGCGGCATCTTGTATTTCAGTGACTGTGGGAAGAGCCAGAGAAACCCCATAAATTGTATTCTGCAAAGGATTTACAGCTCCCTCAGCTGGAGACGCGGGGAGGGATTTCTTTGGTGGGGAGTTATTTACAGGGAGAAGAAAGTCGTGTCTCCTTACTCTGGAGCTTTGCCTGAATCAGTGCTTTTCCTAAGAAATCCTCTTGGCCCTGCATGAGAATCCCGGGGGCTGGGCTGATTTACAGGGGGACGATGTCGATTTCCATGCCCATCCTCTTGTCTGGAGCAGACAGGGAGGTCTGTGTCTGCCCTGGTCTGGAAACGCAGGCTGCACCCAATATTTCAAGTGCTGGTGCCATAAATAAGTCAGACCACAATGCCCGAGGGAGACAAAGGAGTGGACACAGACATTAAGCAGGGGTTCCCAAGATCTCCCTCGCCAGGTGTCCAGAGTATACTTCAATGCCCGGGAAAGCAAGCTGGAGGGGTTCCTGGCCACAGAGGGAGCGGGCGGAGGCCCTGCAGCGGGAAGGAGGGGCACCCTGCTGTTCCTCGGGTTAGGGCACAGCCCCGCTGCCTGGATCAGTGCCCAGGGTTTGATCTAATCAAATATGGCAGGTGACAGGCAGAGACAACAGCCTCTGCAGGAAGAGTCTGTTACTTAGTTCCCGAGAAGGTGGGGGCGTGTGACCTCCTGCAGGGCCGCCCCTGGGGCTGGTCAGGGGCCAGGAGGAGGGCAGAGAGCCTGGCCCAGAGCCTTCAAGGTGACTTCCCAGGAGGGACCGGGTTAGAAGTCTGGGATCATGGAGTTTGAACAGTTTCCACGGGCTCTGGGCTCTCGGTGTCTCTGGTGTGGGTCTCGGGGCCGGGATGACTTAGCAGAGGGGGAAGCTGGACTAGCGTGTGAGCTAGATGAAGGGGGCAGCTGGGGGCCTGGGCCCCTGGTTTGCCTCTGAAAGGCCTGGTGTCAGGTGAGGTGTGTCCTCTCTAGGAACACGGCAGCCTCGGGAGGGATGTCTCTGCAGGAACAGCAAGGCCCTGACATGGCAGAGCATCACAGAACACTCAAAACTCAGAACACACCAGCCTTGGGGAAGGGCGCCTGGGAAGGGTCCTGGGGGTGATGGCCCATCTATCCAGGTCCGTTAGGGGAGCAGAGGCCTGGTTGCCGAAGGAGAGGATTTAGCAGGGGTGGGAGCTGGTAGAGAGCTGCCCCAGAAGGGGGAGTGGCACTCAAGTGGTTCCAGGGCCCCAGCCTGGCATTTTGAACATCCCCAGGGGTGAATATCCAATTGTGTGTGTGTGTGTCTCGGGGAAGGGCTGTTAATTTCTATCCGACTGTATGTATGTGTGTTACTCCTTAGTTAGGGTTTGTGATGGGCCCAAAGGTCTTGAAGAAAGGACACCTGGCGTGTCTTGACTACTAGGCTGTGTGTCTCCTGTGCGCTGGGGGCTGGGGATCTGGAACTTCAGAGGTTGGTTCTAATTTTCACCTTCTTAAGTGCATTTGTGTCCTTAGTGCACACTAATGCTGAAGGTGGCCAGTCTCAGACCATCAGCATGGCCTGAGGGTTTCAGCCAGGTGCAAGGATGCCAGTGTGGCCCAGGAGCCCAGCATGGCCCAGGGAGGCCAGTGTGGCCCAGGGGGGCCAGTGTGGTCTGAAGATGTCAACATAGAACTAAAATTAGGCGCTTTTTATCCTGACTAGGATTTCTAAATGCACAAGACAGTCCATGGCGGATGATGACAAGGGACATTCTTATTTGATGACAGAGCGGCCACCTGCTCAGACCCTTATCAACAGCTTCAAATATGATGCTTGCCACCCCCAGGCACCTTATATCTGAAAATTAGGACTCTGGCTGAGCCGTCGCTTCTGGAATGTTCCCATTCCAGAGATGTTGCCCCTCCTTTCATGCCTCCCTGCTCACCCAGAGTTTGGGCAGGGGTTGGGAGGTGGGGTGAGGTAAGGGGATAGAAATCACCTCCATGAGCAGCGGGCTGGCAAAATAAGCAACTTGGGGTGTGTTCCAGAGCAGGATGGAGCACGGTGGTGCCCCTGGTGGGGGGGGGGCAGGTGCCTGCTCTCCCCGGGTGCACCTGGTGGGCAGCACAGCCTGGTAGGAGGCCCCCCTCCTGCTCCTGGAAGAACACGATCTGCGTCCAGGGAGCCTCTGGACACTCTCACCTAAGTTAACAGAGACCTGCACCCCGCTTGGGTGTGGAGTGTGCTGAGAGGTCACAGTGTCCTGCTCCCCACCCTGTAGGCTGGAACACAACCAGGCACCCATGGGGCGGGGGCAGTGATGAATGGCCCTGTCTCTTCGTAGGGACCAACAGGAGGCTGGGGCACAAGCCATCCACAGCGTGGTTCTAACTCACACTACTTGCTTGTGGGGTTTCCTGTGGGGTCCTAACTAGTCACCTTGATTCAATATCTATCTTTTTCTCTGTTTCCCTTACCCTTCAGCTGCTAATAAGGGCGATGCTATTGGGGGCTCCCGGGCTGGGGAGGGTATGAGGGAGAGTCTCCCTGTGCTCCCAAGAAGGATCTAGACCTAGAAGAAGCTGGCGGGTGGTGTCTCCCCAGCTTTGGGTATGAGACCTGTGCACTGGGGGCTGGGAATCTGGATCCAAGTGGGGACCTGCTGTCTCTTACCTCAACTTTCTTCTTCCCATACCACCTGGAAATCTGGTCCGGCCTGTGGCCTGGGAAGGGGACATACTCTGCTCTGTAAACGGACTGGGGTGTCTTGTCAGTGGCTTTGGTGAACTGGAAAAACAAACAAATGTTCAGGAGAACCCCTGTGACACCCCCAACCCCCACCATCTCAAACTTGTGTTGCAGCCCCTCACCGCCATCAGAGGATGGCAGAGAAAGAGCACATATGAACCCCAGGGCACCCCACATGATGCAGGCTTAATTGTGCCCTCTCCCTTCAGCATTTGGACAGGAGTGGGGTCAGGACCCCGGCACTGCTGGGCTGGCCAAAGAAAGGCCATTGTTGGGGTCACCCAGCCGTTTTCACCCCTGTGCCTGCTCCAGTCCTCTCCCTGGTGCTCCCCACCCCTCCCTTTCTTTTTCTTCTCTGTTCTTCACCCTTCCAACCCCCATATTAGGCTTTATGGATGATGTTTAACAAAATGTCATCGAGCACATTAACTATCAACACCATCCATCTCCAGAGCTTTTTCATTATCTCAACTGAAACTCTGCCCATTAAACTCCCAACCCTCTCCCCCAGCCCCATTGTCTCTATGAATTTGACTCCTCTAGGTGTCTCCTATGTCAGTGGAAGCATACGGGGTCTCTTTGTGACTAGCCTGTTTCACTTAGTGTAGTATCCACAAGGTCCAGCTGCATTGTAGCATTTGTCAGAATTTTCTTTCTTTTTCAGGGTTGCGTAATATTCCATACCATGTAATGTCCCATTTTGCTTATCTATTCATCTATCATTGATTTACTTCCTTTCCCATCCTGTGGGTTGTCATTTTATTGTTTTTGGTGTTCTTTGATGAAAACAAGTTTTTTATTTTGATGAATTTAATTTATCTACTTTTTCTGTTGTTGCCTCTATTTTTGAGGTCACAAATAATTGCCAAATTCAAAGCCATGAATATTTTCTCCAATGTTATCCGCTAAGATTTTTATGGTATTAGGTCTTCCAACTAGGTCTTGATCCATTTTGAATTGCATTTTGTGTGTGACATAAAGTAACGATACAATTTCACTCTTGTGCATGTGGATTTACGGTTTTCCCATTGTCATTTATTCTGGTGTAGTTTCTCCATTGAAGAATCTTGGCATCCTTGTTGGAAATCATTTGACCAGATAGGTGAGGCTTCTCTTCTGAGATTTTTTTTTCCTATTCCATTGATTTATGTGTCTGACTTTATATGCCAATATCCCATTTTAATTACAGTTGCTTTGTAATTCATTTTGAAATCAGAGACTGTGGGTCCTCCAACAGTTCTTTTGCATATTTTTTTAAGATTTATTTATTTATGCATACAAGAGCTGGGGTACAGGCCAGAGGTGTGGGGGCTGAGAAGATTCACAGAGACAGAGTGGGGAGCAGAGCAGGTAGAGCCACTGAAATACACTGCTGAGGGGAGCAGCAGGTGAGTCAGGAGAGGTCTGCCTCACCATGTGGGATCGAACTCGTGCTGCAGAGGCTACGGATTGCTTCATAGTGCGGTGCTTAACCCCTTGCACCACCAGGGAGGCCCCAAATTGGCTTTTTCTAACTTGGGCATTTGATTGGTTGCTGTAGATCGTTGGCTATTTTCCACCTAAGAAGTTCTTTTAGTGAGACTATAGTTGCTTTCCAGCATTTCCATGGGAAAATGGGGTCTTGTATATTTTCAGTCTCCCATCTTTCTGACACCACCATGACCCCACACTCATATGCAACCCCTTCTGGGTGTGAGCTGACTTGTCCACGGGGCCCAGGGATTGCCTGGCCAGTCCTTCCTGCCCTTGGAATTTCTCCCACATACACACACACCTGCTCCTCAAACCAGGGCAAGAGCAATCAGCGCTAACAACAGTCCAGGCCACAGCTGGCCAGGGAGGTGGTGACTGCAAATGCTTTCCAAGAGCCACAGCCCTTATGGCTCTCAGAAGTCACTCGAACTTCCCCACATTACACAGAGATGTCCATTCTATCTCACCCTCTTGCACATTTCCCAAGAAGGCATGAAGATATCTAGATGTGTCTGCAGGCATTGAAGTGACTCAAGACATTCACCTTTAAATAGGTCGATTCAAGCAAAGTGCTTCTCAGTGGCATTTCAATCACAGGGGATCCCAAGAGCCTATTTGCTCTGTTTTGAAAGTGAAAATTGAAATGCCCAGGCAGGGGCATGAGGATGGAGCAGGAACCCAAGGGTGGCAGCACCACCCTGGGCACCAGTCAGGGTTTATCAAACCTGGCTCAGCAGTTACCATATTCTAGAAGGATCAGGCCAGAGAGAGCAGAGGTTCTTCAAATCAAGGTGCAGAGAAACTGGAGACAGGGATCATCAGATACCTAGAAACCCTCCTCAGACGAAATAACACTGGGAGGCACACGGGGCTGGCACACCTGCAGTGGCTTTTTTAAGATACTAAGGGGACCTTGATGATCGCTGGAATGTAATTCCCTGATGTGGAGCCCAGAGGCCTAACATCACTTTCCTAAGGCGTTGTTATCGGTGACCTTTGATTCGGAGACCTCCCACCTCTTCCTGCCAATCCTCCCCCGAAGCCCTCTGCCTGCCTTCCTTACCTTCCTCCTCTCTTCCTCCCAGTTTCCCGTGAGCACTCTGCTGGAATACTTGGCCTCAATCTTCCAGCTTGGAGTAGAGAATGGCTGTGGACTTACTGCAGTCAAAAACTGCATGGTAAGGGTGTACCCCAAGTTTCTTTGACTCAGCCCAGTTTAAGGGATCAAGGGTAGGGAATAGATGTTACGCAGTTGCTGCGTTTGGGGTACCTTCTTTTTCTTCCTGGATCCCCTACTAAATGAACAGTAAATGACACCCTGCCAACTTCACAGGATACACAGGCCAAAGAGTCCACTTTCAGCCTGTGGGGAGAGGAGATAGGATCTTGGGTTCCCTGCTGTTGACTGTCTCCAAGGTGATGAGCTCTCCGTGGCAATAAACACTGTCCTTAAGGGAGCAGCTGATTCTTCAGGAGAAAAATTCACTCCACAAAAACAAATCCAATCGACTACCACCACCACAAAACCAGGGGTTGGAGGGGCCTGGTTCCCCTGTTATCACCCTGAGAACCGTCTTCCTTGCTGCATGTTTACAAGTGAGGTCATTGCTTGCTACTGTCACTTAATGAGAGGTGATGTGCCAGCCCCACGCTGAGACATTCACACGCATTCACTTGTCTTATCCTGACAGCGGCACTAGGGAGCCCTGGTGGTGTCCCCATTGCACAGATGAGGACACTGAGGCAAAGGAGAGCAGCTGCCTGAAGTCAGACATAAGAGAACAGGGATTTAAATGCATTCCAACCTGGGCCTGAACCCTGGCCTCCACTCCAAGCCTGTCTGCACCTAAGGGGCTTCCACAAGGGGCTTCCTAACTTTGTGCCTGAGCTGATTCAGTATGGTCTACTGGGCTCCTCTTCATTCTTCACGCCATGGTCATTTTATTGAGCATGTGCTACATCTTGGGTACTGAGCAGGTGCTGCCATGTCTCAGGGGCCCCATCCATGGGGCTCAGCCCCATGGGATAAAGGCTATTATCTTGCTTATCTCCTTGGGGGGAGGGGGAAGATCAGGATAATAAATCCCTAATGATAAATCCATGAACAGAGGACTGGTTCAATAAATTTTGCAAATGTGAGAAAGCTTATTGTCCATTTAAAATAAATGTGCAGATAATCGAATGATGGAGGGCAAAGACCCACAAAATCAGCAGGATCAAGATCAGAAACCTCAGAGGTGCCCAACGTGGCCCTCTCACCCCAGCCCCACTCCTGCAGCAGTTGTTCCTTGTTTGCTGTGTATGTCCACAGCAAAGGGAGCATTCAAAACACTGCTTAGCTGTGCTGTCTGTGAACTTTGGATCAGCGCATCCTATCAGAAGCATTCACTTGAGTCACATCTCTTCTCCTCAATACAGTAAATGTTTCTGAGGTTGCCCATGCCGCCTGGGGCCAGGGTTGCTAGGATTTCTTGTCCATGGCCATGTCTCCTGTGCCCAGAAAGAGCCAGCTCTCTAGGACAGTGGTCCTCAAATTATTAAGGACCCAAAGGGCTTTTGAAAGTGGTGCTGAACGTCAGTTGCCTCAGCCAATGAGAACTGACTGTGGTCCTGTCCCCAACATCACAAGTTCTGTAAAGTCCATCTGTACCTTGAAATCAGTCGAGGTGGTGTTATAGGACAGGGAGAGGGTCAGCCCAAACCCCGCAAACCTGCCTATTCTAAATGGGTTCTGCCATCCGCCGCATCAGCACAAAACATATAAGACTTTAATGGGAAGGAACTTTAATAAAACTAGGAAACAATACAGGTAAGGTAAAGAGTCTAGTTTCTAAATGAAGCACCCAAAGTTACCCGTCCCCTCGTGGGTAAAAGTCCATCCATATGGGATTGGCCCAGAGCAAGGCCCCAAAGCCTGCCACAAGTCTAAAGCATCTTTCAGTGGGGACCCACAGAAAAGGGTCACAAACAACTGGACAAGCCCGGAAGGAAAAGAGCAAAATCAACATCAAGATAAAAGCTGCCATGGTCACCTCCCCACGGGTCTCACCCACATCTGTGTCACCCAGTCCACGACCAAAAGACAAGCGCAGTTTCTTTACGTGTCTCTAGGCTCCATGCACCTCCTCCAGGTCTCCTGGCTCCATCCTGCTTCCTTCCTCAGTCTCTTCTGCTTCTCCTCTTCTTGCTCAGCTCCACCCTCCCTTGGGTGGGGCAGGGAACCTCCCCCTTTCCTGGGGACCACCCTGTTACAGTGGGAGTATTTATTTTTTTTTTAAAGATTTATTTATATAAGCACTGGGTACATTCAGAAGCCCGGGAGAGTGAGAAAATTCACCAGAGCCAGAGTGGGGAACAGAGCAGGCAGACTGACGAAATACACTGCTGAGGAGAGCAGTGGGCGCGGCAGGAAAGGTTGGTTGTGCCATGTGGGACCCTCGCCGGCGGCTGGGTATTGAACCAGCGCTGCAGAGGCTGCGGGCAGCTCTCAGCCTAGCACTCAACCGCTGCACCACCAGGGGAGGCCCGAGGTGGGAGTATTTATATCACAGAACTGGCAGATACTACATGTCAGGGCGGTTATTTTCCTTTAAAGAGTGGTAGTTACCAGCATGCCATTGGTTAATATCAATATTTAGCATATTAAAATCAAAATTGAGAAATTAAAATTATTTAACGTTTATGACTATAGCAATGTTTATTGATTTATTGAAAATAAACAGATGGCATGTTAACATAATTGAATTGTATGAAAGCTCACTATGTTCTGAAACCCAGTTTAACCATAAATATACATTTAAATTAGTATATGAAAATACTAATTAATATGAAAATTAATATGAAATTTGAAATATGTTACTATGTTAACATAGTATAAATGTTAACATAGTAATAGTTTTTCATTTCAAATAAGAACAAACTCATTGCATATTAACATAATTAAATGTTTACGAAAATTAACTGTTCTCCAAGCAAGATGTTTAGTGTACAGAGTTCATGTTTTTGTGAATCTCTTTAACATAAGACCCCATAAATGACTTCTGGGGGCTTACAGTGGCTTCTGCAGTCGGTCTGTTGTGATGTTATTTTGTCTAAAGTAGGAAACCCAACAATATGTAGTTAGGAGAGAGACAAGTGTTTTAATTGCCTTTGCAGTCATTGTGGCTGATGATAAACTTGGTGAGTGGTAGTTTCTTGGCGCTCTCCAGGGATTCCAGTTGAAATACTGAAAACCTAGGAGTGCAATGGCTGGGTCGTGGGATGCACGCAAGATAAAGCAAACTAGGTTCCAATTGACATTCCTCCCATCGTACTGTTTGCTGCTATTACCCCATACTGTCCAACCTTCCAGAACCTTTTCATCATCCCAAACAGGACCTCTGTACCCATTAAAAAATAACGCACGATCCTCTCCCATGCCCTCGTAACCTCTATTCTACTTTCTGTCTTTATAAGTTTGCCTTTTCTAGCTATCCCAAATGTGGGATCCCTGAATCTCCTTTTTCTTGGGGCTATTATCTTGGTGACCAGAGTTCTTGCTGGTCAGCTAAACCTGCAATCATCCAGGAGGCCTCTCACCAAGGACAAAAGCCCTGGTGTGAGGTACATACCAGCATCTGCTGAAAACAGCTGGCAGATACTATGGCAGGATCAGCTGAAACTCCTTATTTGTAAGGATTAGCAGAAAGTTAGGTAAGAATGGAGATTAGAGATAACATGCTTTGACCAGCAGGAAGAATGAAGCCCCCAGGCAATAGCCTTTGGTCACTCCACCCTGACTTATGTCCCCCACAACCACCCAGAGGCATGCGCACTCCCTCCATGCCTGCCCCACCTGTGGATAGTGAGTCAGATAAACACGAGATACCTTTGGATGGGCCTGCAATTATTACTTCTGGTGTAAACCCCCTCGGCTGCTCATTGCTCCAACCCGCTTGGACTTTGTAATCTTTCCCTTGCCCCGCGCCACTCCCAGTGCTGCCGCTCTGCGAAGTGACACCCAAGTAAGTGGGATCACACAGTCTTTGTCTTTTTGTGTCTAGATTATTTCCTCAGCACAGTGTTTTCAAGATTCATCCCCACCGTAGCCTGAGGCAGACGCTCACTCCTCTTCATGGCTGAGTAGTGCTCCTCTGCGGGGCACGCAGACCACACTTGGTTCATCCATTTGCCTGTGGCTTCTCCCTTTTGATTATTGCAAATAAAGCTGCTCTGCCTGCTGCTGGGCATTATGTCTGACCTACCCCTTTTCATCTCTTGAATGTGCAGCCAGGAGGGTTTGGCATCACCAAGCTGTTTTCCAGAGAGGCTGTGCTATTTTGTATTGCCACCAGCAATGCCAGTGGTCCTACTTCTCCACATCTTTGCCGACACTTGTATTTTTTGGTTCTGGTAGCAGTCACCATAACAGGGTGGGGGGCACCATGCTCGCTCTGCTGTGTGTCTCCCTGATGATGTAGCCAGTGCTCCATGGGCTCACTGGCCACTCGGATGTCTTTAGAGAACCCCCGTAGCTGTGCTGATAAAGAGAAGGTGCAGAGGCAACTCATGTTGATTCAGCACGCTGTGACAAGGGTCAGCTCTCTCGTACTGCATAAGACGCGATGAGCACTGCCTACACTCGGTACAGTCACCCCCATTTCCAGCAGGAAAGCTGAGGGACAGGGAGGCTAAGTGAACATGGGGCTTCGGATCGGCTCCAGACTCCGTGTCCCTCCCCGCCCCTCCTCCTCGAGGGCCTTTCCTGCAAGGTGGCAGGAAAAAATGCAAAAGTGTCTCTTCACCTTAAAATTAAAACTGTCCCATCATCCTGTCATGATGATGACACAGGCAGGGAGTTGCTATATCATAGAGGAGAAGAGGCTTGAGAGTTGCTTTGAAACTGAGCCCAGGCACCATTTTACCTGATTTCACCTTGTGCAACAATTTGCGAAACAATGAGCTGAATGCTGGGATGGGGTGTCCTGGCCTGAACCTAACCCAATAAGGCATCAGCTTGCTGAGTCTGGCATCCTTTGCTCTGTTAGAGGGAGATAAGGAGGCTGCAATACCATAAACCGCCCCAGCTCCTTGGCTGATGCTGGTGAAAATTCACTTGAATTAAGGGACTTCCCTTTTGAAATGCACAGCTATCTGCTAACTGCCAAATTAATTGATTTTCTTTTTGCTTTGGGGATTGGTGGTTATAACCCTCCCTGCTGAGATCTGCTTTTAAAAGGGTAATGGTGTATCCACCCACATTTACAGTGTGCCCAGTCAACAGTTCTTGAATCCATTGCAGAGAATCACATTTGCAGAAGGGAGGGGGCTATGCAGAGAGTTCCTCAGATTTGTTTGCCACCAAGAAAAACTGGAAAGAGCAAACGTGTCCACTAGCGGGAAACAGGTAAGAACTGTAAGATAACCATTAT